TGCAGTTTTGAGGGCAACTATATCATAGAAACATCATCTGCACCCCAGTATTGTAGAAATAGGCTCGGGGCCACTAGGTTTGCCTGAATTCACTATTTTCTGTGGGATCTTCTTCTTCTATTGCTTTATGTCTGTCCATTGCTTAGATCCATCACTGTTCTGCTCTCCAACTGTATCAAGTTTAAGCTACTTGTTCTCCCTTTCATGGCTCTGAACATCTCTGTTTCACCTTAATTGGAAAATGAATGGATGCATGTGTAATATGTAGGTGGCTATAAAGCATCAGGCTCTCCAGCTAAGCTGCTATTTTGTTTTCTATTTTTAAAATGTGGATTCTCTTAGGCAGGGACAGCTCCAGGGTTTTTGCCGCCCCACGCAGGGCCCCCCCCTCCCCCCAAAAAGCCGCGATCGCGATCTGCGGCAATTCGGCGGGAGGTCCTTCACTCCGAGCGGGAGTGAGGGACCCTCCGCCGAATTGCCGCCGAATAGCTGGACGTGCCGCTCCCCTCCGGAGTGGCTGCCCCAAGCACCTGCTTGCTAAGCTGGTGCCTGGAGCCGGCCCTGCTCTTAGGAATTAATTCTGGGCCGTAAATGTTCCAGAATGTAGAAGGAGTAATGCAGCTCCACTGTATGACAAAAAGGATGACATGAAGTGTCAGAGAAGCAGTGCTCAGCAGTTGGCCATAGAGAGAAATTTGGGGCTGGGAAGGGGAGAGGTTTGAGTATGACTAATGGATTGATGAAAGAGGGGATATATTGGCTCCACAGAAATTTTCCAGTGGGCCATGGATGGTAGAGAGCGGTGTGGCTGCTCCATTCTCTGCTTTTGAGTTGAGGGAAGATTTTTATCCCCTAAGACTCCATGTAATTTCCTTGGGCACAGCCCATTTACTCAGCCTGTGCTTGGGAGCAGACTGTAGCTCTTGAGCAGTGGCAATGATCACAAGACACAGGAAGTGGTAGGACAAATATAAAATACTTTATGTGTAATCGGAAGTCCAGCCTATAATAATACAATAAATTACATAATGACAGTACTGTAACATTCTGAAGTTATTCAGACAGAACTCCCAGAGGATCAGGCCAAAGAACAGTACAATTTTTTTTGATTTTTTAAGATCTATTAATAGCTTAATACTGCATATAAAACAGTTGTAACACGCAAGAAGGAAATCAATGGAATTAATCAGCAATTAAACCAGCTATTGCTTTTCATGACACTGACAACTCTCTTGACGTTAGGATCAAACTGGAACTGTCTTGTTCCTATGAAGAAATAGATGTATCCTAGAAATAAAAATAAATTGAATGGTTATATTTCATAGGTGAAATGTTTTCCAACAAATATTTCTATAAAGCAAAATATAACATTGACAGTACCTACATATTCATTTGTGTTAATTTCTGATCTTAGTACAGTAGTGAAAATATAAATAATGATTGTCTCTTTAATGATTTCTTCAACCTAGAGAAGCACAAATATTCTAGCATAGTAAACTGTTTTTAAAGATTTGTTTTACTTACTACCATACTGGAAAGCAGCATCAATATTTTTGCTAATTCCTCGGAACTCATTGATTATCTTCTTTGGATAACCCTGATCCATGGACTGCCTGTTTTCATCATATCTGCATAGAAGAAATATATTTATAATGTATGGTAAATAAATGACATTTAAAAAGTTGAAAACAAACCCTGACACATAAATGAGACTATTCTTGGTAGAAAATCCACTAAAATGAGCTAAACTAACGGAACCCTTAAAATCCTTGCTATTCTGTTTTCAGGTTTGCGTACAAAACTTCCATTGAGCTTTCACCTCAGGAGTGCATGTGTGCATATGTATAGGAGTTTTGGCTGAATGGGCAGGGACAGGCAGGAACTGCATGTCTGGTAAAGATAAGCGAGAGACTGAGCTGGTGAGTTTACTTGACAATTTTGCAAGGCTGCCCCAAATGAATAACACTCTTCTTGCCTATATACAGCTTTGGCCACCCCATCCTAGCCAATCAGTGCTTCTTGGGAAAGTGAAGCACCAGCACCGGGAAACAGAAGGCCTGTATATGTAACTCTGAAATCATATTTGTCTTAGTGTCAACTGCCCTAGCAGATATATTATTTATTAAGTAAAAGTCATGTGTATCTTTGAGGGGTTTACTGTTATATTATGCAGGGGTGGCACCAGCTCCCAGTGGAGGGGCTGAGGTGGGCCAGACAGAAAATTGCCACAAGGCCCTGCCCCCTCCGTGGCACTTCCCTGGGGCCTGGTCAGAGGCGGGAAGCCAGAGCCGGGCAGTTCAGGGTGCTGGCTGCTCGCACCTGGTAAGAGCTGCCAAGGCAGGGGGACCCAGCTCGGGGGCCGGCAGAGCCCTCGGGGAGCAGCAACTGTGGGGGACTGGGAACAGAAGCCCAGGCCAGAGCGGTTCAGTCTGGGCTACTGTGGGTAGCCCTGGATCCTGCACCTGCCCTGTGCAGCGTGCCCCAGCAGGCCGGGACACAGGCTGGGGACTGCTCTCAGGCACCCCAGTACCCATCCAGGGCTTACTTCGCTGCTGCTGCCGGAGCTGGGCACCCAGCCAGCAACTGCCACTCTGCACTGTGCCTTCAGAGCTGGATGGCTGGAGAGCAGCAGCAGCTACGGGGTGGCTGCCGGAGGGCAAAGGCAAATTTTGGAGTGGCTATAGCCCCTGCAACCCATCTCCCCCCAATGCCCCTGATATTGTGATTCCAAGAGCTCCATTCCACTGAATTCTAAACTGTTTTCAGATGAGAAGCCGAAGAGCCATTGCAATGTGATGCAGGTATTAGTTCAGTGGAGTAGTTTATTGCAAAAGATTGCTGAGCTACTATAAAATATAAACAAACCGTAACCACAAACTACTGCATAATCACACAGCATAAACCCATTTGCCTGTTCACACTGAAGGAACAAAAATCCAGTATATTAATACTTCTTTTAGCTTGAAGTTTGAGAGACACAGGGGTACAATTTCAGAACATTACATCCTTTGGGTAATTCTTAAAGAATTTACTAGATAATAGTGTTTCTACAGGTTTTGTGTCTCATCCTCTAGAATATAATTAATCCCTACCACAGATTTCTACAGGATGGTCTGAAAAAACCTATAGAAAGGTTAGTATTTTCTGTCAGACTCCCTAGATTTTAAAACTAACTTCCATCGAACCCTATTCAGTTTTGTGGAATCCAATTGGTTTAATCCTTATTACATTTTATTTTATGTTTCCATATTAATCCTCCAAGCCTAAAGAGAGAATATACCTTAAGTCTGTTGAACATGAAATCTTACCTCCAGTACTTGCCACCTACAAAGAAGTATGTTTTCCCTGAATTCTCATCATTGAAAGCTGCATTAATTCTCTTAACATTTTTTGGGAAGCCCAAGTCATAGATGCTTTTTGGGTGGTTATACACTAAGTCATTCCCACTGAGGACCCAATATTTGTTCTCTGCAAAGAAAAAATAGAATTAAATGTTTCACCAGCAGCTTCTGCTCATACTAAACAACATCAGATCATGGCTTCTGGCTTAGTACTTCCATTACAATGATGATAACAAAGCAACTTAATTTTCAAGAGACATGTATAGCTGAGTAATGATTCTGAGATTTCATTCTCCCCTTTACTTTCAGTAAATTAAGGAATGGCGCTGATCTTTGTCTTTTAAACATAGCATAAATCCTAGGGGAGATGTCCTTCAGGTTCAGGAATTAGACCTTGGAGCAATGAGTCCAAGAAGAACCCTTCCCATACACTTATACACGTTATACATTTTGGGAGAAGACTCCTTGAATTCTACAAATTGTTAAGTAATCCACCAAGAGCAGTTTATTGGGATGCAGAAGATTAACAATACTTTGGATGTCTTCGGATACTTTGGTAATGGAGGTGTATACATGTCTAAATAGATGTATATACAGAAACTTAACTATTAATAAGTGCATAAGTGATCAGGTGATCTTATGTATCTTTTCTCTCTCTCCCTCTCCCCACTTAAGTGTATCGTTATGAAAGCTGGTTGAACTATTTCAAACAGACAGCTATTCTCATCAACAAATGGCCTTTTTACTAAAATAAAACTTTTCACAAACAAGTGTCAGCATTATCAACATTTTGGGTTGGGAATGGGGATTGTGGAAAATTTTGTATCCCTTTTGATATTCTTATCAAAATTTGTAACAAAAATATTATTGAAATGCTTCTTAAAATGTTTGCTTACCAAAGGTGGTCTCTTTTGAACACTTCCAAAGAAAAACAGTTTGACATTTTTCACATAAATAGGTTTTCATTTTTTAACCACCTGTAGTAGTTACCCTTACCTGTATGTCCTGTCTTCGCCTAGATTCTAAGAGCTCTGGAGGTCTTTTGTTCCCTGTGTTCTGTAAGGTGCCTAGCAGACCTTTGGATGTGGCATCACTAATTAACCAATACCCTGCCGAATGCTTTTCAAAACAGCTGCTAGTTCTTTGACTTAATACTGAAATTAGCCTAGAGATAACGAGGTTAGTTCAATCAGGGAGGCTGAGGCTGAAGCCAGCAGTGACTCCCGGCACCAGCGCTCCAACTGCGTGCCTGGGGTGGCAAGCTGCGGGGGGGCGCCCTGCCGGTCCCTGCAAGGGCGGCAGTCAGGCAGACTTCGGCGGCACACCTGCGGGAGGTCCGCCAGTCCTGTGGATTCGGCGGCAATTCGGTGGCAGGTACGCCAAAGCCACCTTCCTGCCATGCTTGGGGCGGCAAAAAAGCTAGAGCCGCCCCTGGCTGAAGCTCAGCAGTTTCTCCTTAAAATCTGCTATTGTGTGGCCAGGAAGGTTGAGCTGTAGGAGAACACTTCAACCTTCCTGGCCACACCATAGCAGATTTTAAGGTAGTCATCCTACAGCAAAAAAACTTCAAGACCAGACTTCAAAGAGAAACTGCTGAGCTTCAGTTCATTTGCAAATTTGACATCATCAACTGAGGATTAAACAAAGACTGTGAATGGCTAGCCAACTACAAAAGCAGTTTCTTCTCCCTTGGTGTTCACACCTCAGATGCTAGAAGAGGGCCTCACCCTTCCTGATTGAACTAACCTCATTATCTCCAGACTGATTCTTGCCTGCATATTTATACCTGCCTCTGGAAATTTCCATTACATGCGTCTGATGAAGTGGGTATTCACCCATGAAAACTAATGCTCCAGTACATCTGTTAGTCTATAAGGTGCCACAGGACTCTTTGTTGCTTTTTACAGATCCAGACTAACACGGCTACCCCTCTGATACTGAGAATTAGTGTATTAATTCAAGGCTGCTAGTGATCTAGTCCACAGCACATTTTGAATTTAGCCAAAGTGCTTCTTAATAGCCGTATGTTATTTCCTATGATAAAACTAGATTTGAAGGAAAAGTGAAGCCATTTTCATATCTTGCTTTTCAGAACATTTACATTAAATAGATAAGCAACCTTTAATTTCATTATTCACACATTTTGAGGGCTTTTGTAATTTGAACGTTTGAGTTGTTTCATGCAGTGTCATCTAAAGAGAATTGCACAGTCTGTGGATCAAAGTATTCCCAGTAAATTCATATATCAGAAGAACTAACATTGTCAGATTCCGTTACCTTTAAAAAGAAAAACTTGATCCCTTTCAACATTTTCATAAGCAGCTTGAATTCCAGATGGCAGATTTGGCCAGAATAAAGAAATGAAATTGAGTTCGACTTCTGTCATCTGAGGATGCTTGCGCCAGAAATACCTGGTTTAAATAAATTTGGCAAATTATAAACTGTTCCGAAACTGCCATAAACGTAATACAAAGGTGAAATGTGTCTGATTCTGTCTCTCTTTAGTGTTTGATCTACAATGAGGAAAAGAGTCTGCTATGAGTGTTACCTACTAGAGCTAATCCTTTAGTAGTTTTGGTGCCGGAGGTCACAGGTTCTATCCCTGCTAATGACGTACACTGTGGTGGGGTCACGACAAAGTAGTGGCCCAGTGTGTCACATAAACATACCATTGCAAAACATGAGTTTGCAGCTGCCCTCTTTTTAATTGAATCTAGACTGATAACAAACCTATCATTCCATTGATTACAGTGGCAGAGTAGTTGGAATAGAATCTAAGGGGGGAGTCCTGAATCACTTTCACCAGCCTTAGCCGGTAGACCACTGACATTTAAGCTCCTCTCTTATGATCAGAGCTGTGTATAGCAGAATCTGGGTTATAGGTCCCATTGAAAACAATTAGAATTCCTTAGAAACTACAGTACAATGGTTGGTGCCCTTTAGCCATCTCACCATTTGATGCAGCCACTTTGGAAACAGCTAAAGCATTTTGTCATGCCTGAGAGAAATGTTAGGTAAAGCTAGACACCCATCATCAGAGAATTTGGACCACCTTTTGTATGTGATTTTTATTGTTAGCACTACATTTCTAAGTGACTGTTTCCCCTCATTTCTCCTGGGAATTAAATGATCTGAAATATTGTTTCCTTTTGAGTACTGCAGTTCAAAGAAATAACTCAGAAGTTCTTTGTTGTTACCTGCCCTTAAAGAACAGCAGTTCTCCACGCAGGGTAGCAACAGCATCCAAAGTCAATTTGGGGTCACAAGTCACTGGTGTTGTGGGTCCAGTTGGTTGAACGGGGTTATCTGAATGTCCTACATGAAGATTAAAGAAAAATTGGCATTATATAATATGGAGAAATACAGCTGAAAACCAATGTTATGAAGGACTTGGTGGGCGCACAAAATCTTCTCATGAAAAATTGGGGGGAAGTGGTCATTAATCAGGGTACTGCCAGGTAACTTCTAGTCTGTAGAGCTCCTAAACTCAGCACAGGTGAGGCTTAGCTCCTACAAAACTAATGAAGTGTGCAAGAATGGGCATGCAGAGGAGCTGAACTTCAGTGAAACCACCTTCAGGGCCATTGCCCACCTCTAGTTAACAGGAGCTCAGCAAAACTGGAATTGCTCTGTGCAGCAACACTAGAATGTTTCTAGAATTAGTAGAATGTTTCTTAAAATATACATTTTTTATTGATTAAGCAGCATTCTGCATAAAAGTGAAATTAACCCAGCATATGACTAAATGTTTATTTTTCTTACCATAGACTGCTTGAATGCCGTTAATGTCATCCTGAGGAAGGCGAAATTCGTTAGGCTCAGTGTAGGAATAGGTGGGGTACATCAGGGCACCAGGATCAGTAGAATGAGACAGACCCAGTGAATGGCCAAGTTCATGGGCTGCGACAAGGAACAAGTTGTATCCTGAGGAATTAAAAAAAATGTATATTTAAAATAGGTGAACTGTGTTTGACTCTATAGTACAGCTGTCTAAATAGGAAATACCTATACATGCTGGCCCAAAGCATATTAGAGACACTCAAGATTCTTTCAGTAATTCTGCAAACATTATAATATAAAGAAATGTAGAAGGAGAACATGCCTAATGCCAGCGAGAAAGGAGGAGGCAGAATCTTCCCAGAGAAATTTTAGCCCTGTGATTAGGGCATTCACTCAGGAGGTGAAAGATGCAGTTTCAATTCCCTCCTCTGCCTGATGAGAAGGGATTTGAACATGGGCTTCCCACCTCTGAACCACTGGACTGTAGAGTCACGCTTCTCTCACCCTATTAATATATAATTATTTATACACAGTGGATCAACTTCAATGGGGGAGATTGAAAGAGAGTCGCATCAGAATATCCTATAGCCCAGTCTTTTGTGGCTCCGGGCCTAAGTTACAACTTCACATGAGCAAAGATTGCACAATCTGATCCTGTATAAACAGGGGTAGTGATGAATCTCCTACCATTTGAGCCTTTTGTCCAATATTCCGCCTCATCAAAGTGAACATCTCCACCAATACCATTGCCAGGCTGAAAGGCATGAGCCAGGAATCCATCAGGTCCATCAAAGGGAGAATTGTCACGATGATCTAAAAAAAAGAGAAAGGATAATTAACTTAATTCTTATTGCCAAGCACTTCTATAACTGTTGAAGGCTAATGTTTGTATTAGTATAACGTTCTTACCTCCAGTTTCAAAAGACATCATTATATCTGCATTGCCATCATAGATCCTTTTGAATGTTAGTGGTGACACATCGCTCCAAACTTTAAACGCCTTTTGGATTGCTTTGTCCACATCCGCTGGATTCATATCT